GGTTTCTAGCGTTGTAAGTCCGCAGACATACCGCTGTGCCACTGGGGGGCTCACAAATTACAATTACTACCAAACTTAGCATTTTAAAAATGGTAACTTTCAGGTGTTATTAAACTGATGGTGTCACCTTTCTGTTGATTTCTTCGTCGCACAACAAGCATTTTTCTTAAACCTTTTCAGTCCGGCATGGCCAGATGGCTAGGGCGCTCGACTCGCAGTCTGAGGGTCGCGGGTTCGAATCCCCGTCCCACCAAACATGTTCTCCCTCTCAGCCGTGAGACGTTATAATGTGACGGCCAATCCCACTATTCGTTAGTAAAAGAGTAGCCTAAGAGTTGGCGGTGGTGGTGATGACTAGCTGCCTTCCCTCTAGTCTTACATCGCTATATTAGGGACGGCTAGCGCAGATAGCTCTCGTGTAGCTATTCAAAACAGACAAACAAACATATACTTCTTCAAAATTTTCCCTTTCCTTTGTCCAAATTTACTGGAAAAATGTTTGACTCCAGTTCAGTAATTAAATCCTCCTGTCCGATTAATTTAAACAACTTTTACATTGTAGTCCGCTAAACCAACTTTGAAAACGAGTAATGTAAAATACATGAAAACTTACACGACTCTTGTCGGTGAATCTTCCTGGTCAAGACTGCATTTCGCCGTTTTGGATATCTTTGATAGTAAAATACACAGTTCCTTCCTTTATATTCATGTCGGTCTATTTAATAATTAAAACTGTTTATTAATAGTTACGTGTCTTCACCTCCCCGTTTGTTTGTTTGTTTGTATTTAAACACAAAGCTACACGATGGACCATCTGTGCTCTGGCCACCACGGGTATCGAAACCCGGTTTCTAACGTTACACCTCCCCACGATGGGTCAGTGATAAGGAAACGAAGTTACAACAGACAGAGCACAGATAGCCCATTGTGTAGCCCTGTGCTAAAAAAAACAAAACAAAAACCTAACATTATTAGTTACTGTAAGGTTATGAATATCGGACGTCAGTCGTTGGCATGGTTCACAGTCAATTGTAGTGATTCTCAACCATTTCCAGTAACATTCATCCCTATGTTTTTCGCAACAGCCCACTCACAGCTGTTCGAAAAAAGACCAAAAAGTACTAAATTAAAATGTAAAATTCTTTATTATGACTTAAATTTACACCAAACTACAACTAGAATGAATACAACATAAAATAAACGTATTTATCAAACTACAACTAGAATACATAATAACTAATGACTTTTTGCTCTTGAATTTGTTGTATAATTGATAATACTCATTCACCCTGATTCTGATCTCATTAACCCCTAGGCGAACTGTTCACCCAGTTGAGAAGCACTGGTCCATACCATTACTTGTATCTAGTGATCAGTTAGTTACTATTTTGTATTACTAAAAATGGCTTAGCGTAACTCTGAAGGCCTATAACGCTAAAATCCGGGTTTCGACACTCGTTGTGGGCACATCACAGATAATCCGTTGTGTAGCTTTGTGCTGAACAACTAACAAACTAACTAAATACCTTAGTAAAAAAAATTAACAACTTACTAGTAAGTAGGCTAAGGTGTTCATATAGGCTACTACCCGCGACAGTGTTGTTTATTGTTCTATTATTAAAGTCATATTCGTCATGGGTCACACATATCCTTTTCTTCATAAAAATCTTGCCTTAGTTTTGGACACCATATAAACTTAGCATTTAAAACACTTTTCGCATACCGATGTTCTCTTTTTTTTAAATGTGTATGAAATTTTGCCGTAAATCTCTCACGTTACCTAAAATCTAGGTTAAAACACATACAATGATAATAGTTTTATTAATAAAAAATAAAAAGTTCAACTATGGTAAGATATCTTCATGTAAGCTGCCCGCCGCAAAAAAAAAAAAAGCTAACCAGTCGCCATCTATCGCATAAAATATTACTGAATATATTTAAATTAAGGTAGCATATACCCTTTACATACTGTTATCTAGGTTTTGCCCTTTTTCTATCAGAAGCTTTTTAACATAGCTTTTCGGAGTGGCCACACCACCCTACCAGCAACAGTCATTCACACACGCGAATTGATCATGTCATTTTTTTGATTCTCAAATGAAATTATGTGACTTTTTTCATTGTCAGATTGAGGTTGATGATCTTGATCAGGCGGGAGGTTACTACTACTACTATCACTACTGTTCTTGTCAGCACCAAACCTATTTCTGAAAACTGTAAATTGTAATCACCATACTTCATCGTATGCTACATACCTAATAAAAGTTTCACTAAAATCTGATAAATCCCAGATTTTTTTAACGTCCGATCTCAACCACCGAGGCGCTTCTGGTTGACGGAGAGATCCTGTGTTTAAAACATTATCCAAAACTATATAATATTGGCAGAAATACCCACCTCCCGGGCAGGTATAACTGCAAGTTTCTGGGGAAGGCTATTAGGCCTGCGGCCTTTTCTGGAATTGTCTGACATTTCTACAAGAACACTTGACATTCAATAATGTTCACCATTCATGAGAAAAGTGATTTTATTGAAATTTTAGTTTAAAAATGAGCTATAATCACAGCATTACTTCACAGAGTAGATTTATTGAAGTATTTTTTGTAGACGCAGTTATCAATAAAAGTACCTTGCTTTTCTGTGGTAACACTCATGATATTTTCACTAAAGAAAAACAAATACTTTTTTTAAACTTTCTTTTTTAATTGTTTTATATTTGAAACTTACTTCATTTTTGTAATTTTTATTGGTTAAATCTGAAACATATAATTTTTATGGAAATTTCAATTGTTTTATTTATTGCTCAGCTATAAAAATACTGCCTAGTTATAAAAATATTACCCAATTATGATTGGTGATAATCGGTGCGGTCCAGATTTGGATGTATACATCGCAAGCTCCATTATAATAATATTTATTTTATTTTCTGCGTAAATTCTTCTTCACTTTCTATTTGAGAAATTACTGATTTTTTTTTCTTGGAATGAAATTGTTCTAAAACTAAGAAACAATTGAGCAACCGGATCTGATTGGGTGTGAAAATCGCACGTGATCTCCCTATTTTATTTTGGTCAGAGGGTCTCAAAGGTTTGCTGATGTCTAATGATATCTTCGTTATATACTGCTTTTCTGATTCTTTATCTTTTTCATTTTGTAGTACTTTTCCCTGCAAAAAACTTACAGTTCTGTAATCGTTTTAGTGGTCGGTGGCAACATTACTTTAGATTATGTTAATAGCATAATTATGGTCTTCTGATTGTGATAAAGTTTCTTGTGATACTATACTTTTGTGTTATATTCCCCAAAAGAACGCTATATATCTGTGTGTAATTCGCGGCTTCTGTGAACTTGAGGCTCTCTCGGATTTAGGCCTAGCATGGCCAAGTGATTAGAGCGTTCACCGTCATACCAAACATGCCTTTCCTTTCAGCCATGGGAGAGTTATAATGTGACGGTCAATCCCACTATTCTTTGGTAAAAGATTGTCCCAAGAGTTGGCGGTGAATGGTATTGACTAACTGATTTCCCTCTAGTCTTTAATTGCTAAATTAGGGACAGCTAGCGCAGATAGCCCTTGTGTAGCTTTGCGCGAAATTGCAAACAAACTATCGGATTTTGCTGGTTGAGTAAGAAGGCATGGTGAAACTTAGTTTCATCATAAATACTCTGCCTAAACAATCTATCAAAGAAATAAGGCATGGTGTCGCCACAGTCTGAAATTTGACGTTGTATTGATGTAAGTTTAAGAAGTGGAACCGAAAAACAGAAAGGGAATAAATCTAAAAACTTTATGTACATTGTAACTCAGTTTAGATAAACATAATTTGTATCCATTTCTTTCTGTATCGATTCTTCTTTTCGAAACATATTATTTACAAAAATGCCTTCGCGACAACGGCACTAGCTGACAAATACATAACCCACTTAACTGTATAAAACCCAACTCTGGACTTAATGAAAGACTCCACTAAGCTAAACTGAACCCAAAGGGAAAACGTCAGTCTATGGTTTCTTCAATCGCACACCAGATGAAAAGATCACTCACCGCTCTGTCCTTCTAAGTGAACATTGCGCCAATATCCAACCAGAGGTCGCCACATTGCAATGATATTTTTATAATATTATTTACAAAAATGCCTTCGAGATGACAACGGCACTCACTAGCTGACAAATACATGACCCACTCAACTGTTTTGTTTTGAATTTCGCGCAAAGCTACACGAGGGCTATCTGCGCTAGCCGTCCCAATTTAGCTAGATAGAAAAGAGACG